CTCCACGTGAGGAAAGCCAGAATTATATCTTGCACGAGGCAACGAAGAGCACATAAAAGCAGAAGGAAGAAGGCAGCCCTTGATCTAGTAGTGATTTGCAGAAGACTGGCAAGGATTTTTGACTCTCAATTATTTGACTTTAGAAAGAGTCAAATACCACCCATGGAAAAATAAACCTGGTTGTGTCTTTTGAGTGTTAAGTGTGCATGTGTAACACTGTGTGTGTGTGCAAAACAATGGCAAAAACAAAATGCCTTTCTCACTGCTGGAATAAATATATCCTGGGGATGAACCAGGAGGAAGAATTTTTTGTGTAGAAGGATTCTAGTATTCAAAAAACTTTCTGGCCTAAAATTCTTTAATTTTACATGTACTGTATTTTTCGTCCTGTAGGGCGCACCGGCCCATAGGACGCACCTCGTTTTTTGGGGGGGGGGAATGAATAAAAAAAAATTATTTCCCCCCCAGCTGCGGCTGCCGCCCCAAGCCTTGCGCACACCTGCCCAAAGCACGGGGAGCCCTCCGGAGGGCTCCGCGTGCTTCGGGCGACAGGCTGCCGCCCCAAGCCTCGCGCGCCCGGCAGGACCTCCCGCCGGGCGCGCAAGGCTTGTGGACACTCGCCCGGGCTGCAGGCTGCTGCCCGCAAGCCTTGTGAGCCCACGGGAACTCCCGCTGGGCTCGCAAGGCTTGTGGATAGCTTCCTGAAGCCTGGAGAGCGAGAGGGGTCGGTGCGCACCGATGTCTCTCGCTCTCCAGGCTTCAGCGAAAGCCTGCATTCACCCCATAGGACGCACACACATTTCCTCTTCATTTTTGGAGGGGAAAAAGTGTGTCCTATGGGGCGAAAAATATGATATGTATTTTGCACTAAATTTTGGCTACTGGACTTTGAGGTTCTAGTAAAAATGCCAACATAGATCCTGCAAGCTTGAAGTTTGCACATCTCGACATACATGCACTAATGATTCTCACATGCTTGATCCTTCTTTGGGTTTCAAAAGGAGGAAGGACCATGTCTTGGAAGCAAATGGTGCATGTATTTAGGCCAACTCAACAATCCACATGGTGTCAGATTTGCACATTTTCAAGGCTTGATCCTGGGCTCCCCACCCATGAAAAAGATGTTACTTCAGCACAGGCCCAACTGCTTTTAAACAGAATAGACTAGGAGACCAGCCATAGATATTGCCCAGCAGAGCACATTGTAACAACTCATGGCTATTATAGTGAAGCAATATGGATGTGATTCAGGAGATATTAATGTCATGAGCTATATCAGCCTTTTTTCTCCTGTTGGTATGTCCTTTGGTAATCCATGATGAATGCTTGTTGTTCTTGCTTCAACGTAAGCTGTGCATGATTGACCATAACATCCCTCCAAGCAAGTTTGATAGAGAGTTTTGTTACTGCCTCCCCATATTTAATGTCTCCAACTGTTAAAATTTGTTTCAAAGAAAAACAGTCTACTTCACACTGTTTTTATAAGTTTAGTTTCCAAGCAACTTGAAATATGTCTGCTTAGCTCAGGAGTGGGGGACTGGTGGCCCCCCCTACTCCTCCAGATGCTGTTGGACTCGAACCCTCATTAGCTGCAGCCAGCATCATCAATGGTCAGGGAGTTATAGTCAAACAACGTCTGACTGCAGATTCTCTTACCCCTGCCTTAGATGCATGTAAAATAATTGCAGTGACTATTCATTACTAACAATCAGTGTTAGGATATTTATCATCATAACTTAAAACAAACACTACAGTGAACAGGCACTGTGTTTTACATCGATCTGAGTTTTAGCATAATTATCACAATGGTATTTATTGCATTTCATTTCATTTCTCTCAGACCTCACTGCTAACTTCCCCCTGCCCTCTTTACACTCCTACCAAGAGAACACAGGAGGACACTTCATGCAACTGTTGAAGTGCACTCTGGTTCAGACAAATGTATTCACGACTTACAATGGTTTATCCAAGTACACTATAGTGAATAAAAATAAAGAAATTGTGCAATAATTATTTAACAACTGTATGGTAATTATGTAGTTTATATCATAGGAATAAGAGTACTGAGAATGAATTCTCTCTCTTTGGCATTATAGCAATGATATAAAACGAAGTTGGGGGCAGGAAAGCAAAACTTGACATTTTTATTTTATTTTTTAGAAGTACGATACTACATTCAGGATGATCCCATCATGTCAGAGAAAATAGTTTGTAAAGAAAGCACAATAACAATATATTGTTCTTTCAGCTTTAGTCAGATTCTGTCAACTGGATCCTCTTGAAAGTTGAAATAGACGTAGGCATACTCCAAAAATGCGTCTGAAGTTCCCATTGCCCTTGCCTCAGCCCCACTGCTGGCTGAGAATTCTGAAGAGCACCACAGAAGAACTTCTTATGGTTCCCACATCTGAGCACTGGCACTAAAGGGAGAAAAACCCCTGGGATTATTATTTGTGTTATTATTCCAGTGCCAAAGGTTGAGGATAAAAAGGACCCGGCAACTTTTATCTTTTTGTCTGTGCTCATACCCTTCTCGCACATGAACTCAGGGCTCTTTAAGATCTATGGGTTTGTGTATTCCTACTGAGATTTCTTTTTCTCTTTTTCTTGGTATTGTGACAAACAGGAACTTTCTATGGAATCTGGAATTGATCCTGGCCAAGAGTACTATGGGCAAGATTACTACAGTTATGAACATGGGTATTATTCATTCTGCATTTTCTATACCACTTCACAACTTTACATGCCAACCAGAGCAAGAATCGAAAGGACTGCTTTAGGCATGGCCAAGCAGTTTTTACACTAGATTGCTTTGAACAGCAGAGCCCAGTACCATATCACAAACTGTGAAAGTCCCTTTGAATTAAAAATCACTTTGTTGGTTCCCTTGGACAGAGTCGGCCCACCCATGACGGCCTCAGGTGGTTGAAGTGCAAGAGGCGGTGCTCTGTTTGTCTCACCACTTCCACTGCTGAGAGGGAGGGGCTTCAGTGTGTGGCATTGCCACCTATCTTCCTCGCTCATGGGAGGAGAAGCCGAGTGAGGGGCAACACTTTGAGGAGCATCCTGTCTTTCACAGAATTTGGCGATAGCTGGGGCACAGTGGCTAAGGAAGTGGGCTGTGATGGAGTGCACCACGGCAGGCCAGGAGGCAGCAATTCCTATTTGCTGCAGGCGGCAAGACGGGACAGGCCGTCCCTGACCTTGGGCATGCCGCATGTGATTATATTGTTGTGCCTTTCTGTTGTGTCTGTTAATCTTGTAAAACTTCACAACTTTACATGCCAACCAGAGCAAGGATTGAAAGGGCTGCTTTAGGTATGGCCAAGCAGTTTTTACACTAGATTTCTTACACTAGATTTATTTGTCGCTGCTTCCAAGGACAGGGCCAAGTACAGCATAAAATAGTATTCTAGTCTCCCATTGTGACAAGAGATGGGGGAGAAATTTGATTCAGTTCACCTTTAAAGTCAAACCAACCTAAGCTGCATTTTCCAAAACAATACGCCTGGCTGAAACACAACAATTCTTTGAAATCTGCACTTCTTTGAATTTTGAAATGTCGTTCTCTGGAGAATTAATATGTTCAGAAATGCATATGCAAGGCAAAGTGTGCATAAAGATGCATATATTGGTGCAGATAATATAGAAAAACACGTTATATTAGTGGAAATTGCTTCGCAAAATGTATATTAGGCAAGATTGCATACGACAATGTGTATATTAGGAGAAGTTTGCATTAAAGTTTGCCAGCCTGGGCTCCTTCAAGAGGAAGGGCAAAATATAAATTGAATGGATGGATGGATGGATGAATAGATAGATAGATAGATAGATAGATAGATAGATAGATGATAGATAGCTGCTTAATTTTCACGAGAACCTCTTTTTAAAAAAAAATTGTAAACTGATGTGAAAATGAAAAGAACTGAACTCGTGAGTAGAAAAACAAGAAACCAAGAGAAACCAAAATTGACTGATTTAACCATCCCTTGTTGTGACTGCCTACAGTAGTATCAGAGTGATGGTTACATTACCAACACATGTGTATCTTCCGTGGGCTTCATAGCAGTTTTGTTGTGACCCCCTGACATTTTCCCCTAGTTCCTCAAAACAGCTGTACAAGAATAAGACTGAGGTAGGAAAGCAAAAGGGCAATTTTTTAAAAAAAAGTAAATTGTATGTATATATGTGTGTGTGTCCCTCTTTCCTTACTGCCACCAAAACTAGGAAGATACCATATATAAGATACAGTTTGCTGTAAAACTATAGGAGGCCAAAGGCATGTGACAAGAGTACTCACTTTAAAAAAAAGGAAGCAAGCAAGCTAAGGATGAGTGCTCTTGCATGTATTTGTGAGTATACACAACCAACATGGATACAAACATAGAGGATGTCTGTACCTGGCTTTTTCCCCAGGTACGAATTGCCTCAATACGGAAGTCGTCGCCGATTGCTGTCTCCTTCTGGAATGTATGATGAATATGGCGAAGTGGTCGTGGAAAGTGATGGCGGCTACTATTATAGCCCACAGGGACCTACGGCAGAAGCAGACGTAGGTTTATTCATTTATTTATTTTTTTCCAGTTCCAAATGTATTGACCTTTTGCAAATATATCAAAGCTCCTAACAGGACATGTGTACATTTGGTAAGCAATTTTTCGGTTCTGACAGGGTCAGCGTCGATTCTGAGGTAAGCGAATGGAAGGACATTTGTGGAAGGAAAGCTTTGCATTCACTTCTTCTTCTCCAAAGCCACTTGCCCTTCTAAAAAACTTACCTGGGGTGACTTCCTAATCACTGTGGCATGGAAGTGAAGCTGCCAAGGGAGGTGGCAGCTGCCCCAAGCCAAGCAGATTTCTGTCCAAACACTTCTAAGCAGTGTTCTCCACCCCACACCGCATTGTGTTACCATCTTCAGTATTTGAATTTCTGTGAATCAAAAATTTGAGTTGTGGGAAAGAGTGATAGCATAGTACAGGGTTTCCCAAATGTGGGTCTCCAGCTGCTTTTGGACTACAACTCCCATCACCCCTAGCTAGCAAGACCAGTGGTCAGGGTAGATGGGAATTGTAGTCCCAAAACAGCTAGAGACCCAAGTTTGGGAAGCCCTGCCATAGTAGATATGTTTTAATATATATCTTACAATTATACGTGCCAGTCTATGCATGGGTGCTGGCTCCTTGGGGCCAAGGCACTTCGCGCCCCCCCCCAATGTTTGTTGTGAGGGTGCTGGTCCCCCTCAATGTTCAGAGTGCGTTCAGCTCTGCCCCCTGGCTCCTTGCAACGTTGCATGATGTCACGCTTGTATCTTCAGGACATCATGAGAAGTCACACGTGTGATGTCAGGACGTCACGTCAGCCCCCCTCAGTCATCTTGAGAAGCTGGTGCTTATGAGAATACAGTGAATCAAGGGTCATATGTCTCTTATCCTCACCTTCCATATCCCACTTCTCAAGTGGATAACATAGACCAGGGTGGGGGAAACCTGTGGATTGGTCATGCCATGACCATTGGCCATGCCAGCTGGGGCTGATGGGAGTTGGAATCCAACAGCATCTGGAAAGTTACATTTCCCTGGCCTGATCTAGAGCTCCCTCTGCTGTCGCCTGCCTCTGGGATAGTAGACAGATGTAGAGCAGGGGTCAGCAAACATTTTCAGCAGGGGGCCAGTCCACTGTCCCTCAGACCTTGTGGGGGGCCGGACTATATTTTGGAAAAAAATATGAACGAATTTCTATGCCCCACAAATAACCCAGAGATGCATTTTAAAGAAAAGGACACATTCTACTCATTGAAAAACACGCAGATTCCTGGCCCTATTTAGAAGGCGATTGGGCCGGATCCAGCCCCCGGGACTTAGTTTGCCTACCCATGATGTAGAGGATTGAGAGGAAGGAAGTGTACTCTCTGCATCTTCAGAGACATTCCTCCTTGTGGGCACTATAAAACTGAGACCAATCTTGTAGCATGACCAAAGCCCTAATAATATGTTATCAAGCCTGAGTTGCTGCTGCCATCCCAGCCCCCAGGGGCCTCAGGGGAACTCTGGTTCTGGAGCACTGCAAGGATGCAAAAGGGTGGCCAGGAAAGAAAGAAAATACCTTAGGGAAGAAAGGGGGAGTGTCTGTGCCTCTGCCAATAAATATGATAGAGAAATTCAAGAGGCCAATTGTTTAGGGCTCTAGATGGGTCTATATGGCGGAGCAGAGGGGGAAAGAGAGTTTTTAAAAAACGGTTTCTTTGACATCTATTCATTTTCAGCGCTGCAGCATCATCTAGTGGCTAAAGTGATAAAGTGCATTTTATTATAATTGTGGTTTTAAATTATCATATAACTAGTGCATATCTAAAAGCCTTTGGTACAGGCAACAATCAAAAAGGTCTGGTATAAACATATGCAGAAGATTCAAGTTACTGTGCCATAGAATTGTCTCCTGCCTCCACTGTAAGCCATACGGAGATCTCCCCCCCCCCCCCCAAAAAAAAAGACTTGGCCTATGACTTTCACAACTACTTTAGTTTCATTGTTCCTTAGATATTACCAGTGGCGATGTTAAAAACAAGTCTAATCCATATACTTATTTTGCTTCTTCCCCTCTCCCTTGCAATTAACTCTTCATTTCTTCCTGCTGCAAAGTATTCTAGGGCGACATGTTTTCAAGCCAGCCAGCTTTCTAAAATTATAACTAAGCTCCATTTCTTATGATTTGCAGAGGACAAGTCCTGGTGCAGTTGTTCCCAGAAGAGCTGTAAGCCAAAGGCCAGGGCCTCCAGTAGCTATTAGTGCAGTAGGTGAAGTAGCGGCTATAAAGGCAGGCCCCAGCCAGGGAAGGAAGAAACTCAAAGCAGTGATGCAGCTGAGCCGAGTAGCAGTTAGTGCCCCCAAGCCAGGAACCACCACGGAGGCAACACCATCTCCTTGGAAGAAGGCAAAGATTTTCCCAATGATGCTGCAGAAAGTGAAAGGGAAAGATGCAGATTATGCAGAGCTGGAGGCAGCAGCTCGCCAAGCGGAAGGAGAAGACAGCATGGTTATCAAGGGAAGCTATTTCCAGAAATCAGCCGGTGACGTGATATCGACAAAGAAGGTTGGCCGTGCCCTGAAGCGCACCTCCAAGAAACTCCGGGAGCGTGGTACATCAGAGGAAGTGAGCGAATCGGACTCGAAGTCAGGGATTTCAATCAGCGTCACGGCGGAAAGCGAGTCTGAAGTGAGCGACTACGGCAGGAAGAAAAGGAGAAGGACGTCGTCGTCTTCAAGTGAGTCGTCGTCGTCCGCAAGCAGCACCTCTGCCTCTGATAAAGACTACTTGACAGTGACGCTGGACCAAGACGAAACCACTGAAAGCACAGTGGACTCTGATGAAGAGCGTTCAGATTCGTCTGGGTCCAGTTCAAGTAGCAGCAGCTCCGAAGACGAAACCTCCGATTCTCAGAGCAAAGCGTCCGAAGATACAGAGTCCAAGATGTCATCGTCGTTGCAGAGCTCCGTCAGCAGCGAAGTTACTGCCAGGACAAAAAAAAGCAGGAGCTCCAAGTCCAGTCTCAAGAACCGGTCATCTACAGGAGGAAGTGAATTAGATGACGCCATAGAAGAACTATCAGAAGAAGAAGAAGAGCCACCATCAGCTATAGAAGAGGAGGAGTCAGATGACATTGAAACCTCTAGTAAACAGAGAGGGGGCAGTGAGGACGAAATTGACCCAGAGGAGGACAGTGAGGCAGAGAGAGGTACTACCAAGAGCTCAGCGACTCCAACAGATTCTGAAGATGTCCCCAAAAGGGAGAGGATTCGGAAGAAAGGGCCCACAAGGATCGCAGATACTGCTGAGTCAGAAAATCCCAGTGACTCTACATCTTTTTAGAACACAGGAGGTGGAACAAGAGGTAGACAGTGTGCAGTGAGGTGTGGTTTTGGTTTGCTGTGCTCTCTCTGTATTGCTTTTTTAGGAGGGAGGGAGCATTATGCAAGTCTCAGACACAGTTTGGGAACCAGCCAGTAGCCAGCCTGCCACTCTCTTCCATTAAAAGAAATGTTTTGCAGAAGAGTTAAGGGCTCCTAGCTGAACAGCTTCATGAACTTGAATACACACTAATAGGACTGCACAGGGGCTAAAATAATAAGAATAATTAAAAACAGGGTGGCTTGTCCAGATTACAACAACTTTGACAACAAAACTTTTATTAATGATTGATTGATGGGTTGATTGATTGATCAGGTTGAGTCCAGACGTGATTCTTGATTTCTCAGCATTTCCTGATCCTTAGTAGAAGGCGAACTCCTGTGAATGGGGTTGTGTTTGAAGTGGTGTGAGCTGCTATGAACATTTTTCCTCTGGTGCTTGTGCTGTGAGATGGTTCATTTACTCAGAAAAGCTGAAGCTGCAGTAATCAAGCAAACAGCCAGCGTGTGTGAATTAGCGGTTTCTTTAAATATTGAGGGAGAGGGGTAGATATGTCTATTTCTACCACTGTGTGATTTGCATTTTCTAAAGATGTCTCTGTGCCTTAGAAATCAAATTGCTTTATATATATATAAAAACCTTTTCACTGAAGAACTATTTGCATAAATTCTATGCCTACCCAAATTGCTTATAGCTAGGTTCGTTATTTAGCATGGAAACTACTTATTAACTAGATAGATTATTTTTCATTAAATTTACATGGTTAGTGCTCAGATTGGGAGGCCAATTATGAAGATAATTAATAATTATATTGAATCTGTTGCAATTATATTTGGCTGGTTTATTCCAAAGTTTTGGTTTGTGTACTGTAATTCGATTAATGTAAACGAGCAAATCCTTACACGCATCGGAATTTCATGCTAGCGAGACATCATGTGGGGATAAGCATGGTTTCATGTGGTATATTCCCCATCCCCTTTAATCGCAACATCCACATGGTTACACTTGCTTCAGAAACTAAGATTGTCAAGCTGTAAAATGCTACTGCTTTCGTGCAATGATCCCCTTGAAGCAGAAATGTCAAGTGCTCTTCATGAGCTGATATTACAATACAATATTTCAAGTGATTAATTCTAGGAGGAAGTGATAATGATTTTCCAAATATGTACCCTATTGGCATATTGTACATACCCTGTTGATCTCTAAGGCTAGTTCATATATCTGCCTGTGTTTATGGTGTGAAAACTTTGGGAGTTTGGTTATGTCTGACAGAGACAGTTATCATGGATATAACTCTATGTAAGTTCAGTATCTGATCATGGAGGTAAGCATATCAAGAGATAAGATGTCATTTGTAATCTACTGCCTCAGCTGAATGTATTTCAGAGAGAACTAAACCTCAGGCTTTCAGAGAGTGTCCCAGGAAAAGTCACCCATATTTTCTGCAGCTTGGGCTCACTGGTTGGCTTATGGGGTCAAACGGATCAGCCTGAAGATAACATCACACCATTTCCTGGGAAGATACCTCAGTGTGTTTCATTTCCCAAGTCTTTCCAATATAGAGAATCCACTCCTGCCAACACTAATAGAAATGCAAAACCAAGCATGTTAACTTGAAAACACCTTCAGTTCATTATACAAATGGTGTCAGGGAACAGAGATTCTAGAGCAGGCTTCCCCAACTCCTAATCTTATTGGACTGCAACTCCCATCAACCCCACCTAACACAGCCAATATTCAAGCATGATGGGAGTTGTAGTCCAGTGACGTCTGGGGGGAACTAGACAAAGGCAGTTCAGAAGTGCTTTGTAATCACTGGCCACCACAGAAATCAAAATCTAGATTCTACTTGCTTCCTCCCTTCCAGGTCATGAATAAAGTGTTTTCCTGCATGTGTCCAGTGAGAGATGAGAGATGTTTATAAGACTTGTTGCTTCACACATTCCTCCCCCCTCTGTTTTATTATAGATATTAATGTAAATAGCCTCTACTTCATTTCTGAAACAAAAATATCCATATTGAGGCATTCCTTGTTTTAATCTCAATACACAGTGGTTAACAAGTCATTCAGCATATTTTAGTGCAGTTAAATTGATTTTTCTAAAGGAAATTGTTCACTTACCTAATTTTGTTTTCTAGTGGAAGCAACGGAGCTGCCAGTGCTATGCATTAAAAAAAACT